CAAAAATGAAGGACCAAGCAGGAAAGCCAAGGTTAATAAGCAAGAGCAACTAGAGTGTTTTCGATGTAAAGGTTCACACATAGTGCGAGATTACCTAGATCGAGTCAAGTCATCCAAGGGAAAGGATAATGTTGAGAGTAGTGAGCCTGCTAGGCTTGGTTCGATGAAGTTTGTTTTTGCTAAGCCGAGTAAAGGTCAAGAGAAGAATGGTTTTCCTAAACAAAAATTGCCAAATAACTTACCAACGATGTCGTGGAGATATACATTACTATTGAAGTTGGAGTTGGCTCAAGGCCAAAAGTGCCTGAATCATCGGAGGAATAATTATCCTCAGTGCTTGTCAAAAGTAAGGCATTGTCTAAGTTGATGAGTCTTAGACATGACGAGATGTTAGAGTATACGAGTCAGTTTAAGGAACTCATGCTCGAAGTCTCAGACTTGACTAAAGGAGATGAGTTCTTCAGCTTGATAGATAGATTGAAGTTATGGGCAAAGATAAAGATGGAGAGAAGGGGTGTCAAGGTGTTGTATCAAGCCTTGAAAGTCGTCGAGTCCATCATAGAAATTGGAGTCAAGAAGACATCAAAGTTTAAGAAAGCCGTGGGTTATGGAAAAGTAACCCATGTTGAAGGGTCATTGAGAGATGGGGAGCGAAGTTCTCCTAGTGGTGACAAAAGTTCACTGAGAGTTGATGCAGTCATCAGTGAAGATGACAAGTCTGAATTTGGTACAAGTAAAAGTAACAAGTACCGTAAGCCGAGGGTAAGAGATGAGCAATCGGAGGGTCGTCAATGTAAGGGGCCACAAGAGTTGCAAGCTTGTTTGGATAAAGTTGTGTTGTCCAAGGAAATGGACGAGCCCAGGATCAAGGCATCCGAGGATAAGGATGTGCTTAGGATCGATGAGGCTATGCGAGTTGGCACAATGATTTTGAGTTCTACCAAGGCCATTAGAGGCCAGAAGTAGAGAGGGTTGATGTTTGTTAACATCACGATTGCGGGACAATCGAGAATTGCCTTAGTAGATACGAGTCGAAGAAGGCTGCCAAGAAACTTGATCTCTTAATTCAACCTTTAAAAAAGATGATCAAGAATGTTAATTCTGAAGATGTTCCAATTGTTGGTTTGGTCAAGGGGATAAAACTGCAGATTGGTGAATGGAGTGGTAAGAATGTGTTCCAGGTAATTTCGATGGATGACTTTGTCATTGGGCTGAGTTTCCTTGACCGAGTTTGTTCTTTCGTCTTTCCTTGGGTCGATGTCATATGTATCTTGGATTCGTGAATGCAATGTGTAGTGACTTTTTTTCAAAATGAAAATGGAGAAACCAAGACGGTGATAACTATTCAGTTTGTTGATGTTCCGAAAGAGATGAACATTACTTTTGGAACTACCATCGGAGAAAAAACCAAGGGTGGGTTGATAGAGTCCAAGCCTTCGAGGGACATGAAGGAAATTGGTCTCTCCACCCAGTAGTATGGTGGGAGTGACACCAGGCTTTGAGGTGGGGTGTCAGTATGAGTTGAAGCAAATAACTTCAGGGTGGAAGTGTCAATGTTAGGAGTGTCAGACTTCATGAGTAAAAAAAGGCTGACATAGAGAGTAAATATGACTGAGGAGTAATCGAGGGAGGTATATCTCAAACATTTTTTTTAGTGTTGTTTAGTTTGATTTTCTATTGTTGATTGGTGTAGGTCAAGGACCTAACCAACTTTTCGGTGTTTCCAAAATTTGGAAGGGGCTTGTGAGATTTTTCAGAGTTCTTAGAAACGAGTGAGTCTTATCGATGAATCTAATAGTTCGTGTTCTATGTCACTGGAGTATCCAAGTCTTTGCCGTTGGATTAGAAGTATCCAAATTTGGATGAATGCAAGCGGGTAGGATGGATTTCCTACACTTAAGATGTATGCAACAGAGGGTTAGATTATGTTGAGTCATAACAGCATAGATCAAGGCGTGAAGTGAACCGAGGTGTTTTGTTGAAGATTTGTCCAAGGTTTTCAAAGACCAAGTGTCATTGCTTAGCAACGAGGGTGTTGCTAGATCAAGTGGGGGAGAATGTCATGGGTCGTGTCTTAGGGTCTGAGACTTTGGCACCATTGCTAAAAAAGGGCTTGTCATAGGCCAAGCTTACTTCCCAGTCTTAGGGATGGCAGTATGACCCGAACCCGATGGGGAAACCCGAAACTCGATCAAGTTTGGGTTGGGTCGGGTTGAATGATATCGGGTCGGGGATTTTTTCGGGTCAGGTTCGAGGTAAGGTATCTCCGCCCCGATTATATATATATATATATATATATATATATATATATATATATATATATATATATATAAATATTAATATTATATATTTTATATTAATTATATATAAAATATTTTCAGGTTCGGGGCAAAAAAATCCCCGACGGGACACCCAGATAAAAAACCCGTTGAGGATTGAGTCGGGGTTAGGGACGGGGATTTATTTTGGGTTCGGGGATGGGGGCGAGCAAAACCCGCCCCGAACCCAACCCGTTGCCATTCCTACCCAGTCTTGGAGAATGCTTACGAGTCCGAGAAGGTTCATTTTCGAGGGTGTTTGGGAGAAGCGACGAGGGTGTTACATTTTTATGGGGGAAATTGGTCAAAGCTTGTTGATTCGGACCGAGACATGTGCATGAATTTCTGTAGAAGAGTTATGCAGAGTTTTGGGCTTGCCCATAACCATAAAACTTGGCCCGCTCTTTGGAAGGTTCCATAATGGATATAATTATCTTTTAATTTAAATAGAAAAATACCTAATTAAAGAGATTATGTTGTTTGAATTCAAATTCCTTAGATAGAGTTTTGATAGGATTGGATTCAATGTAAGTCGTTGATGTACTTTGATATAGACTGTTTGTTTTTTAAGGCCTCAATTATAAATAGAAAGCTCCTCCCCCTCATTTGTTATCATCTATAAAAAATCTTCTCTTGAGAGAGTAATAAAACTTAGACATTTACTCTTGAATTCTTCTTTGTTTCCTTGTTGCCTTTGTTTCTAGTTTTCTAGCCTTTGTGGCTTTGTTACTTAAGATTGTTGGCTTGCTTTCTCTTTGTGCTTAAGCCTTTATGGCTTGTGTTGCCAATCGTGAAGATCGAGTAGCCTCGAGAGTGTTTACTTTCTCATAGTTTTTTCATAGTTCCAAAGTGGGTTAAGTCTTCGAGACTTAGAGAGTTTCGATAGTGCTTGTGCTTCCCAGAGTTGTTCAACCTTGGTGCCTTGGATTAGCCCCATTGGTGTTTAGTTTCCGCATTGTTGGTCTAACCCTAGCGGGTTAGTGTGTCGCTTGGTGAGCCCAAGTCTCACAAGGATGTGGTGAAGACTGACTTAGGTTCTCTTTCGACTTAGAAATCATCTAAGTGTCGCACGAATCAGCTAGAAGAAGTCGTGCCCCGTGACATTATAGACAAAAGTTCAACCAAATCAACATCCCAGTACTATTATCAAGACCGAAGTCTTATGATACTTATTATGGATTTTATGATGTATCAATTGTTTTTTCATAAGATAACCATGTGCACAATAGACACAAAAACAATACTTATCAATGTGTATATGGGTTCATAACATACAATCTCATAAGCCTTTTTTTTTCAAATTGCATCTCAGACATCAATAAATATATCAATTATCTCAAAACATTTCATAAGTAAAAAAATCATATAACTTATCAATTTTATCAATAACAAAGGTTGCCATTCTTTGTGCTCTAGGTTAGCAAATGTCATATATGTATATTACCTATATGGTAATGACTAATCCAACAAAACAAATACAATAAAAGTGATTACACCCACCTCAATCGAAATTGTTCAATTTTGACATGATTTATGAACTATCGAGGATTTTGGCCTTCCCTCGTTGATGCATGACTTTCATTGAATCCTCTTGTTCTAGTAAGGTAGAAGAAAACTTGATTAATAATAATTCACCATCTTCAAATATCAACTAAGAAAAATCTCTCAATCTTTTCATAAATTCTAATTTGGATTCAATTTATGGTTTCAAGTCAATTTACCCGAAACTTGAAATTGACACTTCATTGCACCAATTGTTCATGGAAACAAGTGAATTATGATGATCGTTGGCAGTAACCCTTCCGGTATAGACGGAGAATCACAATTAGTAGTCGAACGATCGTTTTTTGGTGTCAAGATTCTATATCTCCTTAGGAGGTAGAGGAGAGATGAATGAAGAAGAAGGTTTTAGTCTCTTCTCTTGATCTTGTTCGAGAAATTTTATAGTAACTCTTAGTGTTGTTCTCAAATGTAGAGACACATTAATTGATATGATCTTATGTCAATCGATTATGGTAGATCTCGTGAGACCTATTAGAAGTCGTATCAAAAGGTCTCAACTTCTCGAGAGGTGTCAAGCTCGGAAAGCCCTATTTCTGAGATGTTCATCGTGAAGCGGAGAAGCATCGGAAGGGGTATAACAAGTGGTATTGATAGGTTGTTGTTGGCTGTTGACTCTCCTCTGTTGTTATGTCTCTATTCGATCAGTTGCTGATCTATAGGTTTTGGGTGCTTTGCGTGAGCTGTGTTGGACTTCCTGTATGTCCTTTGGTTGTCTTGTTTTTAGTTTGATGTTTTCCACTTCTTGTTTTGTAAGTTGCTCCTTGTTCGGAAAGCCAGCGAAGCTGCTTCGACCTGCAATTTTGAAACAAGAAATAATTGTCGTTGCAACCTAAATAATAATCAAACAAAAATGTTAAAACTATTTTTAATACATTATTATTTGGAAAAAAAAATTCACCCACATGGTGGGTTGGTCAAACGGATAATAACAATTTACAGACAAATATAGATGTTCAAAAATAGCAAATACGTGTTTCAAGGAGACAAGCATTCAACTCGGTTAAACTTCATGTTAAATTAAATGCATTGCACAATCCCTTCGCTTCTTCAAAGGAAAGATCCAACCAGTAGATTAAACAACAGAGGGAAACAGAAGCTGCATACAATGACGACGTTTAGGCCTAAACACCTGCACAACCCTTTCTTTATCATACCACCTTTGTTTCTTATTTTATCGACTTTCTTTTCACTTTCTCATGCTCGACAAAACGACACCGCTGATCTGCAACAAGACGGTAACAAATAGTTTTCTTCTTTGGGTAAAGTACACACCGATTATAGGGTATTACTTTAGTGAATTTTTCGACTATTAAATGTTACAAAATAGTCCCGTAACTTTAGGGTGTTATTTTGTTGAGTCTCTCAATTATTTCAAATTACATAACGATCATCCGACTATTCATATGTTCAAAACTTGTCATTTTTCGTTAAAAAATCGATGACGGTTTGAGTTGGACGTTAATCTATTGACTGAGATATGATAGTCATCTAATATTTTGAGATTAGATTTTATCATATCATTGTCAATATGTTAACGTCCAGCTCAGACTACCTTAATTTTTTTTAAAGAAAAGAACGAGTCTGGACCATATGAATAGTCGAACTTTTAATAGTTGTGGAACTGAACAAAGCAATGCCCTATAACCAAGGTACCATTTCATAACTTTTAATTGTAGGGTACTCAACAAAATAATATCCTATAGTTGAGGACATTTGTGTACTTTACCTTTCTTTTTTCAAGAAACTGGAAAAAAAAATTCTTGGTCTAGAAAACGCTTCTTCTTTTTGACATGTAGGAGTTGTGAGTTTGGTGAAGCGAAAAATGGAAGAAACTAAACAGGAGAATAATTCCATGATTTTAGCTGCGAATCAGACAGAGAGGCCTGATCCTATGGATAACTTCCGTATATATACAGGAGGATGGAATATAACAAACATGCATTACTTTGCAGTAAGATTTCTAAACCCCTAGACTCTAAATTCATTTTCATGATACATAAGAAAATTACTGTAGTAACTAATGGGATATGATGATGTTCGTTTAGGGTTAATTGAAAATGGATAAAAATGGTGATATGAGATAAAGCTCACTAATATAAAAATATAAGGGACGTGAGATCATTCAGAGTGAATTGCAACAGAATTGATTGTAATGTTTTAGATTCATGTGTTGAGAGTCGGACCGTAGAAAGTTAGGGTTAAAAATTTGGGGAACTTCTATTTTGTATTTGGGTGTGGACTTCAAATGAATGCGCACTCGAGGCTTATTTTCATCCAATAAAGGGTTAATTGCATCACATATCTTCAAAGTATGATCTTTATTTTAAATTGGTCCTTAAAGTTTTAAATAATTTAATTTTATTCCTAAATTATGACTGTCATTCTAATTAATCCTCAAACTTTTGACAATTTCAATTTCATCCACAAACCGTAATCTTTATTCTAAATTGATCCCAAACTTTTTAAACATTTCAATTTTATCCTGAACTATACGTATATACCAATCGCATCCCTTGTTAATAAAATCATTATGCCAAGTTATATTAACATATGTATGAAAAAACCAAAATTTAGGTTAAACTATGGTTGAAACTAATTTTACATATTTATATGAATTTGAGGGTGAAATTAAAAGATTCAAAAGTTTGGGGAGCAATTTAGAAAGATGGTCCAGTTTACGGATGAAATTAAAATGTTCAAAAGTTTAAGGATTATTTTAGAATGAGAGTCATAGTTTAGGGATGAAATTGAAATATCTAAAAGTTTAAAGACCGGATTAAAATAAGATTATAGTTTGAGAATATATGATGCAATTAACTCATAAATAAAATATTGATGCGCAAAAAAGTTCATTTTTCAGTAAACTTATATACTGGATTGGATCCTGGTCCAAGTAATTAATCGTAAAAGTGGATCCTTTTTGTATGCAGTCAGTTGCTTTTACTGCAATTCCATTCGGGGTGATGGCTGTAATTTGGTTCGTCGTGGTGGGTATATTTCTTCTTTGTGCTTGCTTCTGTTGCTGCTTCTGCCATCGCAAGAAGCCCTACGGCTATTCTCAATATGTTTATGCATTCTCTCTCGTCTGTCTCATCCTCTTCTCAATAACTGCAATGTAAGTATAATTTTATTACTATCGCCTACGCGTAGTACTAAAGTGCGGTTGCATCAAAACTATGGTTTTATGTTGCGTAATATTGCGGTGAATTTGAAAAACATTACGATGCTACGGCAATTTAATATCATGCTGATCTACGTTACTTGGATCCGGGTAAGAAGTTTATGGAATAGGATTTGGTTTCAGTGTTGGGAGTTCTGTAATGTTCAGTGGAGAGAAAAGATTCGTGGACAGCGTTGAAAGATTTACAGACTACTTGGTGAATAAAGGAATAAGCATTTATGACAGTCTTATACGCATTCAGAATATACTTATATCGGCCAAGAATATTGTTCTGAACCAAAAGAATGTGCCTGATGATCTCAAACAAGAGGTCGACAACGCCAACAACAGGATCGACTCAATAGGAACGCTTCCTCGTGTGAAAGCCCAAGACATCACGAATGAAATAAACAAGCTTCTTAAACATGTGTACGTTAATTATTATCATCACTTCATTTTCTATGCAATTTCGACGGCAGGATTAAGGTATTGTTTTGCTGCTTTTTTGTTTCAGGAACACTGCTCTTGTTGTTCTTGCCAGCATCATGCTCCTCTTGGCATTTCTCGGATTCTGTAAGCCTCTTGCTTCCCCCATTTACCGTTAATATTGCGGTATAATAGCAAAATTACTGCCCATCGTTTGCATAAATAATTATTTTATCTTTATTCTCTTCAAATGGAAACAATTAGCTGATTAACGGTCAACATATATTATTGACGTGATATTTTTATGTGTTTGATTGATGATGTTATACATAACACGTCATCGCTTTGGGTGATACGGAATATGATATGTTATCATTTTGGATGATATGATACAAATCACGTCATCACTTTAATAATGTAGTACATATCATGTCATCAATTAAACACATGTAAAAATACCACTTCATCAACATGTGTTAACCGTTAATCAACTAACGGTTTTATCATTATGCATAATATTTCTTTAAACTCGGCTCTATATTAGCTATCTCCTCACATTGCTATTGTTTTAATGGACCGCAGTGTTTTCCATTCTTGGCATGAAAAACTGTGTGTATATGTAAGTTACTTGGACTTGGAATTATATTAGCTTTCTTTCTTAATTTTGCATGTTTTTAACTGGAAATCTACACTCTGCAATGGCAGACTCGTGGTCCCTGGGTGGATTATTATCACACTCACATTTATCTTATGCGGCTTGTTTCTGGTATTCCATAAGTAAGTCTCCAAACAAACCATATTCATTGCTACATTTTAACCTAACGATTTTAACCAAATTAACCGACCGAATCCTTCAGCATCATGTCCGATACATGCGTTGCGATGAACGAATGGGTTCAGAACCCGAAGGCGAATTCGGCACTGAGCGATCTTATACCTTGTGCGGAAAAGGAAGCGGGCCTAAGGATAAAGGAAGCAGGCAAAACAGTAACTACAACTATTAATGATATGCTCAACCAAAGGGTTACCTATGCCAACACAGATAACCTATACAATCAATCCGGTCCCTTAGTGCCTTTAGTCTGCGATCCATACAATTATGGCGACTCTCAACAGAGTTGTGGTGATCAAGTGCCCTTACCAAATGCAGAAGAGGTAATAGTCTACAAAAATAACTTATAATGTAAATTACGCATTTAATCACCCAATTATTTTTCTTTTCAAAATTATGCATAATGTTACATTTTAATCACTCACCAATAAAAATTAAAAGAATTGCTTATATGGCTTTTTTCTCTCTCAATGATGATGTGGTAATGCTTTACGATGACATATCAATATTAACGTCAATTTTTTAACAGTGAGTGACTAAAACAAAATCAAATCGCAATATTAGATATAATTTTGAAAAGAAAAATAATTGAATAACCAAAGTGAAACTCTACAAATAATTAGTTGATTAAATACATAGTTTACTTAACTTATATTAAGATAATATATCCTAAACTATAGTTTGTACTTTGTAGGCATCAACAGAATAATGTCACCTCATTAATTTTTTAAGACATAGAAATATTCTTATACGCTATTCCATAATATAATTTTTGAATTTATCAAGGTATCTTAATGGTCGAAGGAAATGTGATTCTTCTTAGAGGTTATATATTCAAATAATTACGTTTACAGAGTATATGAACATTGTCAATAGAAAGATTATGAACAAACACGTGAAATTTACCATGTTTTGAATTTTGATGCAGGAATGGAAGAAATATGTATGCCAAGCTTCTGGGAGTGGAAATTGCATGACAGCGGGGCGTTTAACACCAGAGATGTATGACGAGATGAGTAGCGCGGTGAATATAAGCGATGGGTTATACGAGTCGAGTCACTTCATTGCCACAGTTGTGGACTGCACTATGGTGGAAGACACTTTTAGAAACATAACCCAAAACCATTGTCCGAAGTTGAAGAAATACAGTGCATGGGTGTACGGTGGGTTAGTGATCGCCACCATTTCGGTGATGTTTTCCTTGTTGTTTTGGTTGTTATACGCTAGAGAAAGGCAACACCGCAAGTACACCAAGAATGTCAATAAGGGCTTTGACCAGTCGCCTCTTGCTGGTGGGAAGAAGCCGTAGGGTTGGGATGGTTTTATGCACCATTTCTTTCACATGTGCAACCCTTTGTTTGGTGAAAAATGCAAACGGAAAGCAGACTAGAATGAAGCGTAGGATCAATTATGTGATGCTTTTGTTAAATTGAGGGGGTAAATGAATCGAACTTGAATGAATAAAGTTGGGTTTGTTTTGTTTACTTTTTAAGATATTTATGATTGGTCCGTATTCATTTATTTATTTTTAAAGGTGTTTGTATTTGTTTCTTTAACGTTTGCAAAAAAGTTCTTTTAACTTTCGTGAATATGTTTGGTTCGTATTCATTTATTTATTTTTAAAGGTGTTTGTATTTGTTTCTTTAACGTTTGCAAAAAAGTTCTTTTAACTTTCGTGAATATGTTCGTTTAAGTTCGCAAACATATTCGTTTAACGTTCAACAATCAACATTCTCTTTTTATCCTTTTATTTGCAAGTAAAAATGATAAAATTATGTCACTAGTCCTTAAGTTCTTTAGGCTTCACAGTTTGAATTAGGCCTGTAAACGAACCGAACGCACACGAACGGAAGTATGTTCATATTCGTTCATTTAATAAATGAACACAAACATAAACGAACAAAAAATTTTTTGTTCATGTTCGTTCATTAAGGAATATATGTTGTTCATGTTCGTTCATTTAAATGAAAAATGAACATAAACGAACGTAAACGAACACAAACGAACGAACATAATAAATGAACATAAACGAACAACACAAACACAAAAACAAACTTATTCGAACACAACAAATGAATGTAAAAAAAAGTAAACAACAAGAATAACAACTTAAAATTCATTAATATAACCTGCAACTTTAGAATTAATTTGTTCGAATGCGACAAAAACATACATAAATCATAAATAAGCTATATGAACATAATAAAGTCTTAAAGTTAATTTATTCAACAAAACAATTTTCTTGAAATCCAAACAACTTCAATAATCTTTGTAACATATTCAACTTTCTCTCTGTTCGAACATAAATGAACGAACATATAATCGAACGTTCACGAACGTAAATGAACGAACGAGCCATTTGTTTGTGTTCGTTCATTTAATTAAACGAACGTAAAATCTTGTTCATGTTTGTTCATTTAATAAATAAACGAACATAAACGAACTTCCCGTCGCACGGTTCATGAACGGTTCGTTGAACGTTCAGTTCATTTACAGACCTAGTTTGAATTCTATTGTTCACCTTATATTCAATTTAATACCTAACTCTACCAATATTTAAAATATAAAAAAATAAAATAAAATGAAAACCGAATAAACTAAGTTATAAACAAACCAATAAATAAATTTATAAACGGGTAGACAAAATAAAAATAAAAGTAAAGAATAAAAAATGATTGGTTAAAATTAGAAGGAGAAGAATAATCCCAATTGGACTAATTAGAGTTGAGAAATTGCATAATTTATATATATAAATTAAAAAAGGTCAATGGTTGGTTTTGTAAATTTGCTTAATGCTTATGAGTGGTAGATAAGGTTGGAAAGTAACTGGTAATGATCTAAAATTTTGAAAAATAGCAGCCCTTATATGCAAATACTAACAAAATGCCACAATCTCAGAGCACTATATAATGATCTCCTTCCTAGTTCTTCCCTGCTCTGTAAGCCTTTATATATATTTTCACTTTATTTTTCCCCTTTTTATAATTTTTTTAGGAATAAAAATCTTGTTTCGATTCTCATATCCAAACACTTTTAATTACCGAGAAATGGAATAAATAAATAAATCAAACCCTACACTTAGGGTTTCGCTCCATCCTATCCCCTTCGTTTAGAAACAAAATTCATTTTCGTGTTGAAATAAGTTGATCGCAAAGGATTGAGTACCTGTTTATTGGGTTTTTGATTTCTTGTTTAAATTGGAGAGATGGAGAAGAAAAAGGTGACCGTGCCATTAGTATGCCATGGGCATTCAAGGCCTGTGGTTGATTTGTTCTACAGTCCTATAACTCCTGATGGATTTTTTCTTATTAGTGCCAGTAAAGGTATGTCCTTAAATTTCTATTTTAGTGATTATTTTGGTATAATCAGCTATGTATTTTTGTTCAGTTACACTAATGCTGAATTGGGTATATGTTACACTATTTTGGTGATTTTCAGTTTTGGATTTTTTTTATAAATATTTAACGTTACATTTTTATTAGTTATGTAATAATGATTTTAGGCGTGTTAGATTGAACTGCAGACACTTAGATAGTCTTCTAGTCATGTGAATTTGAATGCAGCCATATGTAGATCATTTTCAGCTGGAGTTTTAGCTACTGTTTTTCTTTAAACAAACTGTGAGTTATTGTTGCTATGTTACTTGAAATGGATACTTGTTTCAGAGGCAGTAAATCTAGTTTGTGGTTGATTGGTTTTTATATGGGATCTGGTTTAATGTTTATCAACTATGTTTTTATTCATGCATTGGGAATTCAGACTCCACTCCAATGTTAAGAAATGGGGAGACTGGAGATTGGATTGGCACATTTCAAGGGCATAAAGGTGCAATATGGAGCTCCTGCCTTGATACCAAAGCATTACGTGCAGCTTCTGCTTCTGCTGATTTTTCTGCGTATGTAATTTAATTCGAGGTTTTTTTTCCTCTTTTCTTTTCTATATCTACAAAATCGCATAAAAAGAAAGAAAATAAACAAATGAAATAAAAGGAAAAAGGAGGGAAGGGAGGGGGTCTTAATTAGATTCTAATCTCAAGACACAAAGGGGTATTTTACGAGCCTAATTTGATTACGAAGTGATAACTTTCAAATTTAGAGAAACCCTGCAATGAAAAATGGGCAACCCTGCCTGATAATTTTACGAAAATAATCATAACTGAAGTTTCATTAAGCGAGAATTATATATACAAAAAGTATATGCGCAAAGGTGTAATGGAAGCTAATGAAGATTAATTCATTGTTGTTCGGTTTCTTTTTAAAATAAACCAACTTATTCACTCATTCATGGAAGATAGTAAACCCTTGTAGTTAAAACACATTTTATGATAAATCTCTAAAGTAGATGATGATTAATAGAGTAAATTCTTGATTATAATTTTCAGAATCATTGTAGTTGAAAAACGTTTCAGGATGAATCTTTATAGTGGATGATGATTAATAGAGTAATCCTTGATTATAATTTTCAGTGCAAGTATTGTGTAAAAGACAAAATTTGTGTTCGGTAGTAATAAGTAATGTATTGAATCGATTCTTTTTAATGAATCAACCTGATCATAACTTTGAATATGGAATTCAAAGAGATCAAATAGAAATGATACTTTGTATCATGGAACTAAAATGAAATATATGATCAAGGAACATATATCGAATTTGAAAGAGAGTCAATAAATAGTTTGATCCTCTTATTCTGATTTATTTGGATCAATATTTTATTATTTATTATTTAAATATAGTTTATTTTATTATCATTTATTTATTTTTAAACATATAATAAATATAAATAAAATGTGTTGTATTTATAACTAATTATACACTTAATATATTATATACCTAATGTCATATTTTTATATTCTTGGGAAGGGGTGACATACATGCTTTATGAGATTGGTTATTCAGTTGTTAGAAACCTTTTACTTGATAAATTCAATTGCTTCACATGTTCCTCCAATGTTTGCAGGAAACTATGGGATGCATTGACAGGAGATGAATTGCACTCTTTTGAACACAAGCATATTGTTCGAGCTTGTGCCTTCTCTAGTGTAGGATTTGATTACTTTTCCATTAGAACCACTCTTTCAGTTTTTTATTAAAAAAATTGTACTAAAGACCTGTATTTAATACTTATGTAGTGCTCATTGCAATGTTGTTCACTTTAGAACTTATTGCAAGAACATTATATTTCTTGAAATGGCAGTATAGTTCTTTTTTTGAAGTAGTGTGTTTTGAGCCAGTTAATAAGTCCCCATGCAAAAAATGGTGAAAAAAATTGCTTTAAATTAATGTTTTGGATATTCTTTTAACCTTTTGTCTAGCATTGGAAAGAGTTTGCATATTCTTTTTTACTAATCTTTCGGTTTCTATATTTATATACTTCCTTCTTTTTTTGGGCACTTTAATTGCCAGATATAATTGCAAATCATCTTTGATGGACAGAAGTAAAGGTCTTAAGTGGGCTTTGGTGGATATTTTTTCTCTGAAACTTTTAGATAATTAAGAAATTGTTTTTGTTTAATAAATGGGAGTGTCTATATTGGAATTAACTTCTTGCATCATGCATTTACATTCCTGGTTCATTAAATTATTCTTCAGTGAATATAATTTTTTTCTATCTATGCTTGGCTCATTTATTATATTTTTTCAGCATCTGAGTAAATTGTTATATTTTCAGGATACACACTTTCTATTCACTGGCGGAGTTGAGAAAATTCTCCGGATATTTGATTTGAACCGTCTAGATGCGCAGCCAAGACTAGTGGATAATTCTCCCGGCTCAATTAGAACTGTTGCATGGCTCCACAGTGACCAGATGATCCTAAGTTCTTGCACTGATACTAATGGTGTGAGGTATGATTATTCAATGGATATCACTTCCACTTTTTCTCCCATTTCTTGTTCTAAGATAATTCAGTTGTAACAAGTGTCATCCGGGGCGGAACTAGGAATTTATTATAGCGGGCCTAAAATAATTTTTTTATTTTCTATAAATATATTTTTTTTAATTGAGGGGGCCTGATAAATTTTTCTTTATTTATTTTTTAAAAATATATATTTTTCTATATTAATTAATAATTAAAAATATAATTGGCTGGGGACAAGGGTCCCTTTGCCCTCCCCTTGGTTCCGCCAATGAGTGTCATATATGTCGTATTAATATTGTGTCACTGAAGGACTTTGTGATAACATGCATAATAAGTAAACTATTCATGTGCAACGGATACATATGGTTTTTCAAGGTTAAATTTAAACATGGAAGTTTTAGGGCATTTTGCAGGTTATGCAATGCGCTCCTTTAGGTTAAGCTTACTTAGCTGAATAAAATTCTGATGGCAGTTTTTGCTGGTTGACTTCGTAAAGTGATTCTTAGTATCAGGTTGTATGGGAAATAGTAAAACCTCAGATACTTGGAGTTCAGGAAAGTAAAAATAAACAGTGAGGTTTCAGTTTAGATAAATGGTGATATATATTGGGAATTATTTCTTCCATTTCTTGGTGCATTTTCTAACCTTCTATGCGTTCATAATGTCACATGAATATGCTTGCACATGCAACTTTCGGAACCTTGGTACTTTGTCTATTTGTAGGTTGTGGGATCTGAGAAGTGGCAAAATTGTTCAAACACTCGAGACCAAATCACCCGTAACCAGTGCAGAAGTGAGTCAGTGTGGTCGCTATATAACCACTGCTGACGGATCTACTGTTAAGTTTTGGGATGCAAATCAGTAAGTTCAAATAGCTTGAGTTTTTGTGCAAGCTTTATTCTTTTGCCGTCAAGGCTGCTGACATCAGCGTTTGCTCTTATTAGTTTCGGATTGGTGAAAAGCTATGACATGCCTTGCAATGTAGAATCAGCTTCACTGGAACCAAAGAATGGTAATAAGTTCATTGCTGGAGGAGAAGACATGTGGGTCCATATCTTTGATTTTTATACTGGAGAAGAGCTCGGTATGTGCCTCGAGATTGTCAGATGAACGGCACATATTTATGAAGACTATTGTCTTTGAATGGCCACTTAAACAACTTTATTTACTTGGCAATATTTTGGTTACTGCTTGATGCTGTTGTAAGAATATTTAGGTCTCATGTTCGGGTATTTTTCAAAATCTGGAAGTCGTATAAAAGAATCTGAAAAATTTAAAGATCGATCCCTATTGCGCCGTATGAGTTGTGTTTATGCAGTGTGGGACTTATTGGATGATGTCTTCTTTTTACGGGTTTTTGTCGGTGTTTGAGAGTTGTAATAATGCTGTGTTTAATTCATGTAGGTTGTAACAAGGGTCACCATGGTCCTGTCCACTGTGTACGATTCTCACCTGGAGGGGAATCCTATGCATCGGGATCTGAAGACGGTACGATCAGAATATGGCAGACAGGTCCAGCGACACATGAAGAGAGTGATGTACCACCACCTGGAAACGAACCAAGTGGAAAAGTGAAGGCCGTAGCCGATGAGGTTGCCCGTAATATTGAGAGTGGCCTTCATATTGCAGGGGAAGGGAAAACGGGGGAGAAGGATAAGGCAACAGATGCCTGAGATGGTATTAAAATTGTTTAGTGCATTCAACAAGTGTTTGTTTCAGCTTGACTGCCAGGTTTGTAGGATAGTCGGTGTGGGTCTGTCGGCATCTTTCATGTTCGTCTTTCTATAACGAAATAAAATGAACTTCCGAATTGCCTTATAGTTAAAGTGTTGATCTTAATCTGTGAACCTGTAGTTTCGTTTGAAGGTGGTAGATGGCGTTAAAATGTAGGAAGGAGCAAGGTCCTATCTCTTATTCATATAGGAACGAACAAGCAAGGAAGTCAATGGAAAAAATGGATTCAGGTTAGCTGTAGGTGGTGAATTCAGTACCAGAATATTGAACCTCAATGTTTAGCCTTATCATCATCAGTGGAATTATATAAAATAAAATAATTTGTGAGTACTTATTATTGGCTAAATGGTAAAATAGGTGGTTGCAAAATATTGAAGGATTTTCATGCGGTAGATGAAATATAATTATAAATATTTTCTTATGTTTTTTTTATAAATAAGTTACATCGAGTTTAATGAAAAAATATACATTTTAAAAATAAAATAAAAATGATTAAATATTACCAAAATATTCAGATGATTATGGCTAGACTTGGGACAGATTTAAGTTTGATTTTACAAGGTTTAGATCATTGTTTGGCCCTTTTCTTTGGATTATTCGCCTAGAATACTGTATCTTGGTTGATAAATATAAATCCCCTTTTCCTCAAAGGTTTGATTTTACGGGAATTTTTTTTTTAATATTTTATTGATTTTTTTAATGTAATTCACTTTTCTGGTTCTTTTGTTATTTTTATAAAATGTTTTACCATTTTTGTAAAACATTTTTATAGCATTTCACTTCAAAATATAAGTACTCAAAATAATATTATTTTATTTATTTAATATTTATATAATATTTTAATATATTCTGATAAAAATTATTAATTATAAAAATATTGAATATATATATAATATAATTTTAATAATATTATATTAATATATGTTTAGTTATATTATAATGGTATGATATTATTTTTTTAATTTAATAATATAATAAGTTATTAAAATAATTAATATTTTTATTATTTTTATAAAAAAATATTATTTTATTTAATATTAATATAATATTATACGAACCAAATAATCTAAATGAATTGTTATTCCTTGAAATCTTCAGTGGTAAAATAATAATTTTTATATTCGATATTTATAATATGAAAATTTATTAACTAAGATTGATTCATATATTATTGCCCAAACACAATAAAATATTTTTCGAAAATTATTTTTCAATAATCTATTTTATATAAATCAATTTTCAAGTAATCCAATTTATGTAAATAAATTTTCACAAAATTGATAAAATACATCAAACAAATGAAAAATAATTTACACAAAATCATCAAAACACCTATAATAATTTCTAAAAAATATTTTAGTTCATTCTTCATTAACAGTTTCCAAGTAATTTGTTTTTCATATAAACCAATTACAGTCTATGAAACAAACTCAGGCCTTACAGTTTCTTCTCCGTTGCTTTAGAACGTAAGATAAGAATTTCAGAGAAGTCTAGCATCGATGCGAACTAATGCGCTTCTGTAAGTAAAGCTAGGAGTTATGATTGTTCTTTCAAGAATCATACTCAACCTTCAAATAATCATAAACATAGGTTCCTTTGTAGAAAGACATTGAAAATATTGATAATGCCCCGTCCTATGCTTTTGGGAATTTAATATGCATCTGACAGTGGCACCAGAGATTCGAATGCTACGCATTTTCGGCTGTTCCAAGTTCATCTCGGTTGTTGCAAAGCTAATGAACAACACACATTTCTGGTTGGGTTTCCATGCTTTATTATTCCGGCCAGTAGATATTATCTATCATTTCTGCCTGCCATGAACCATGAATGATGGAAGTGCATGTTATGTCCACTGCTTGCAGAAAGTTCAATACAAATTCTTGCCCGACCCCCCTAATTCAAAAGCAGAAGACTTGAAATGTTCCAAGGGGATGATAAGCATTTGCCTGTTACAGAGGAATAAATCCATCTTCCATAAATTGATCATGCCATTCCACAAGTTTGAAAAGAGCAAGTCTCTTAAAAGCCACCTATTGCTTCTTTGAACCTCCAGCTGTTCGCACTTGATCCTTCTCCCTCAACTGCAACTCCAAATTCCAAAAGAGAACTGAGAAGCATAAAAGTAAATACTAGTAAGAAAGGAGAAACCAAAACCTCACCAACTGCAGCTAAAGTTCGATACACGGGGGATGATAAAGCAAATCCCTGCATGTTGCATCTTCACGACAGCATCTTGAGTTCTGCTTTCCCAATAAAGACATAAGGGATCAGGCAAGAATCTGTATCAAATATTTCACAAGCATCTCGAGAAATGTTTTATACCAATTCTGGGGCACTTGTCTGACAGACATAATGAAAGCAACCAACCAAAGAAAGCGAGAAATGAATCCTCATGCACCATTTGCAGAAAGGACAACCCTCTTAGGCTAGAACCCTACCTAGGCAGATCTTTAAAGGTCCATTGGAGCTATCAACCGATGCCTCTGATACGCAGCAGTTGACACAGTTTGTAAATGAAACCAAGGTCAGGAACATCATCATCCAGATCAGAACTCTTTCAAGTCCCTGGCCAAAACAGTACTTTGAACCTGATTCAACCAGAAACAACCAACTTGACCTTGTTTCTTTGTTTCCTGGATAATATGTAACTAACTCAAGTTTAGTACTTGTTTGTTTCTTTCAGTTCCGATAACAGGAAAAAAAATCCCAATTTCACTGTTAACCAAATGAAACCTTAGACACCTTAGTCTCACGTTACTGAGACAAATAAATTAAAGTGAGAAGTTCCAAAGACAAACAATTTTTGACAATCAAAATTCAAGACCTACCTAGCCTAACCTCTGCTTGGAAGGGTGTAAAGAAAGTTGGAAGAATGGAAATTAGATAGGTAGAAAAGCAGAAAAATGGAAAATGAAGTTTTTCTTTCCATTGGTATGGCTTGGTACGAATGATGGAAAAATTGAAAGGAAATGCAATTTTCTTTCCACTCATTGGTTGGTAGAGTTGAAAAATGAGAAAAGCAAATTAAGCTTTGAAAAGTACATATTTTGAACTAACTCAACTCTCTCACATTCTCTCATCTTTTCCTTTCAAATTGGAATGATTTGTTTTTACAGGTGAGAATGGAAAATGATTATAACTCTCACTTCTCTTTCCTACCAAACACTCAAAATTTATTTTCTTTTCACATTCCCACTTCACTCCTTACATTTTTCCATTCAACCAGGCAAAAATCCTAAATGTCCATGCTAATGTACACATGGAAGAATCAATGTCCACCACTACATTTACATATAAACGAAACCTTAGTCCTACATATGCACTAAATGTCCCCAAAGTAAAATGATGTAAAATCCTAATCCCCAATTGCAGCATTAACAGATGTACAATAGCAAACAAGACTTACCCATTCAAAGGAACCCACCTGGAACCAGAGGATAAAACTGAAACAACTCTTCCAGTCCTTGCTGCGTGCCTGTTTCTGCTTCTCAGAGCATCAACCACCGTACATGAATTGGGAAAAAAGAAAATGTTACCCGCAGCATGAATTCTCTTCCATTGTACATGATATAAACTGAAGCACCTCTTTCAGTCATGGCTGCATTCAACACAATTGAAGAGGAACCTGGTATATGAATATAGAAACAGGGACCTCTCCTCAACAAGCCCTCCAATACTCACCATTTACTTGATTACAGGAGAAGTCCATGTTATCTACTTGGATTCATATCCACTGTACATTGTTAGGAATTAAAGTACTGAAGAATTGAAGACCAGACCATAGGTTGGAGCGCTGAGGCTGCCAATTTTCAGTTCAACGAGTCCAGCTGCTTCCAAGCCAATCTAACTGAAAGGAGATTTACATATAAAGTACACTATATAGATATTGAATAAATACTAATTACAGTCTAACTATAAAAAGGACAAAAAAGTACATTTGCTTTAACAGTACTCGGTTTTTAATATAGAACCAAAATAATAAACCTAAAAGCAATTCAATTACTGAACAACTTTGTGTTATACCGCCACTTCTAGATCAGTTCAAGGTTGAATTCCACTCATTGGACCAAACAAATCACTGATTTGCAGTTCAACCATCCTCTCCGGTTCTTTATTCATCGATACTAACAACAGGATTTTTTTCACGCAAATTTCATTAGGATTGAAAACATATAATACAGTGCATTGAAAAAATAACTCTAAGATCACAACAGGAGTTTTGAACCTGGTGTTCCAAAGGGGGACGTACAAGTATCCATCTATCAAAAGCAAGCAAACCACCTATGAAGTAGAACCGCATTTGATCAAATGTCATCAACCATCATGCATGAACTTGTTTGCACATTAAGTTGGTAAGAATTCAGCCTCCAAAAGGACAAAGTTCATTTTCAAGAGTTCATTTAAGGTTCGAAGCCTTTGGACAAAAGAGTGGAGAGAGATCGAGAAAGATTTATTAATCATCCGGCTTAAAATGTTCCATTATTATACATACATTCTAGAGGCGCAAAAGCTTTCCAACCATTATATTTGTTCTTTTCTTAAGTCCATGTAATTTTTTTCATATAATGCATTTGGCTTTTCCATAAGTGTCACTGCAATATCAAATTACCTACTAACTGTAGGGTATCTGCAACAAGGGAGACAACGACCTATACCAAAAATGCCATAGATAAATCAAAATTTGGAGAATAATTTTAGAAATGATTCATACCAAAATCAAAGAGTTCGTTTAGGAATAAACCATGGCTGTTGTCCCTTGGTCAACCGTAAGAGATAACAAACTCAACCAATCATGGCTTTAGAAGCAAGGTATGGATACCTCCAACATTGGCCATGAGATATTCTGAGAAGGCATCAAGATATTTCTCAACATTAATTCCATATATGCCAAAATAAAGCAAGTATAACATTTGTATCCAACATCATCAGAAGATGTAGAACAGTTTCACATGCATATAATAGCAAATATTTCGGTTTTGAAAATGTAGAGGGAAGGAGGCAGTAAAGAACATGCATTTGAAACAGGATGCCCTCAAATTCATTTTAGGGAATCTCTTACACCAACAAAAGAATATAATTCAAATTTTTGCATATAAATGTTTCTTAACAGCTTCACTAAGACAATTCAGATTTTTCTATGCTGCCATTTAAAGTGCATCACCGATATGCCACACATACAAAAGGCGAATATGAAAAGGAAGGAAAAAAAACTATATAAAGAACAAAGGCCTCAATCATGGAGACAGGAGAAGAAACCATAAAAGCAATTCCAAAATTGGACTTTGAAGTATCCTTACAATTATCTGCATCATTGGAATAAAACATAACAATTATCTGCATCATTGGAATAAAACATACTGCATTACCATGTACAAAAGGAATTCTCTAAATCTAGTAACAACTAATAAATAACCTATTACCGTTATCTCTCAACTTTCTTAGCTCCATCAAATGTTCATCATTAGAAATATTGAGAGAACGACGTAGATTGGTCACCTTTTCTTCTTCATCCCACGTCAAAGGCCCAGAAGCATGCAATGCCCCGAGAGCTTTCTGATAGGCATGTAGTTCAGACTTATGAAGATCATATCCCAATTCCACACTAGTGGAAAAGTAACTTCCTTCTTCTTGGAATCTCACATTGGGATTAGAATCAGCATCACTTTGATAATCCTCCTCTAAGTTTTCACAACCGTTAGATACAAAATTAGGAGATAAGTTAAGACCATTATTCCCTAAACCACTACAACTACCAACTGAGGATGCACAACTCATGGTATCATCAATTCTATTAAAAGAAGGCATACATCTTTCACCCAATATATTATTTGGAGAAACAAATGCATCTACCTTTTCAGAGGCAGGCGAAGGAAGCCGAATTATTATTCTTTGAATACCATTACTACCTTTCTCAAACACCCTCTTCTTTTGCACACCACCATCCGAGAAGCCAATCGAAGATCTTTTCCTCTTCTGCGGTCCAGTGGAATTTGACGAACCCTGAAGTCATAAATAATAACTGAGGTAAGGATCATTAAATTCTAACACAAATAAAAAATGAAATAAATTGAAGAGACATATTAAACCAAAAAAAGGATTTACCTTTCCGACGAGGAACCAATTGCCATCTTCCCAAGATTGTCGAACACGCAATCGAGATTGATGTGCTTTGAGTTGGCCACTCGATCCAAGGATCCTAACGGAAAAGTAGTTTCCGCCGAGAACCCTAACGATCGCGGCCGGTTTCCAGCACAACTCATCGAACACCTCAACGACATCACCACAAACCCAATTATCGTCCCCATTTAAAGGAGGAGGGCAAGGCCTAATCGCTTTCCTAGGAACTCTCTTCATCTCCGCCGCCTCTCCGGTGACCGGAAACCAACCGTACTTTACGATATACGTGTGGCCATTTCCGGAGATAATCTCGGCACAACGCCAAGCGCCGGTGGGAACCTCCTCCTTGGTCAATACCTCAACTTTACTGCCTTTATTCAATCTCATGATCAATGAATAAGATTAGAATCAATGAAAAGGGAGATGTTGAAGAGAAACGATTGTTGAATGTTGATAATGGAAATTTTTAGGAATTGGGCGTTGAAATTTGGGATTATATAAGGGGGGCAGGGAGTTCTTAGATGAATTAGAAATGTTGTTTGTGATCGAACGGTAATAAATGAGTGATGAGAATGATCTGACGGTGAAGAGAGAGTGGAATAGCCGAATAGGGTGTTGGGTTAGGCGGTTAAGAGTGAAGGAAGAAGTTTCCTTGCCGGTTCGACAACAGCTGAGAATTACTTTAAGACCCAAAAAGAACTTTGAGTAAACTACACGTTCAATACCCTAATTATAATTTTTGTTTCAGTTTAATCATATAATTATTTTTAAAAAAATATATCTAATATTTAATTTTATTCTGGTTATTTATAATTACAAATTTAAAAATTGTGATGTGGTATTTTATTTTATAATAACGATATGATATGTATTATTTAATGGAACATCAATATCTAATTAACTCCTTAAACTAAAATTAAATATGATTTATAAAAATAATTGAATAATAAAAATAGTTAAAGTATTAAACATGTAATTTACCAAAACACTTTTAATTGGACTTGGATTTGGACTTCCACCGGCGGTTTCTTTTCTTCTTTCTTCTTCTTATTTTTTTTAATTGATTATAGTATTAGTTATATATATAATTATTTGTAATAAACCTCCCCAGTCAAACTTGTCTCCCAAGCAAAGTCTTGACTAATTCATTTACACATGCCAAGATGCTCCTTTTTCCTTCAATATCCTCGTTCTTCATAGGCCCAGTGAGGGACATATGAATGGGCTCAAATAGATTGCTGGTTTTGACTAGTTGAAACTTGTTACGAGTTCTAGACATATTGATACCAAAACCTAATATCGATACATACCGACAAAGGTAGCCCGACGATGTCCAATGATGGTTGCATCAATATTTCCCTTGGATAACAAAGGCGTCTAAGTTAATCTGGCCAGTTAACGTAAAGGCAACTCAACACATTCAACTAAGGATAAAGGCATCTTCACTGTGATGGCAGAGTGAAAGTGCCTCATTGCCATGACATCATGATAGAGGTTGCAAACATTCCTTGTGAAACATTAATGTGTAGTGTGGAGGATGTACCTTTAGATGATTTTAGTTTTCAAATAGAGAAAAAAGAACTCTATTTACATATGATTAGGGGTGCTTACCACACCATAAGGTACAATATAAATAAAATTTATTTTGGTACTGTATGAAAACTTACTCGGATATATGTCAAGGACATACTTTCCTTTATTGGCGACCGATAACGGTTCTTGAAGTTACCAGAATAGAGGAATAACTCTGGTGTTTGTGCACCTTAAAGATGTTGTAGCATTAATATGTAGTAAGGGATAGTTTCCCCCAATATACTAGTTTTTTATATAGTATCAGATCAAACTTTCAATTCAAAAGTTTTATTCGATGAATTCATCTTTCTCGTAAGAAATCTTTTTTTGGATCTCATCAGTCTTTTTGAGGACATCATCATTATTACCTGTACGTATTACCTGTCACAAGCTCGAGAGCGACATTAGTAAATTTTTAAGCATGTTAATTTTATGAACTTATATGAGATATTTGAGCAGGTTATAAGATGTTTCATCTCGGTTGATTCTTTTTTGGCCGGAGGTGTTCCATGCTGACCACACAAATTATTGGTGAGAAAAAGTTGGATGAGTCGGCAATAGGTGATTCTCCCTCTTCTAATTTGAACAGATAGTCATAGCCGATAAATTTACAATAGATGGAAGGTTGAAGATGATAAATGAGTTTTCCTATCTCTTGATAGGGAGAGGAAAAAGTAGAAGAAAAAGGTCCATTTCTACATATCATAGCGACTTACACATTCCGTTTCTGATCATTGTCCATTAGTACTAAACACGAGCACAGCGAATAATTTCAATAGGAGATGGCATTTTAAATTCCAAGCGTCATGGCTGTTGGAAGATTCATGTTCTAATGAAGTCACAAGGTTGTGGTCGGTGGCAAGAGGTACGGTACCAGAAAAATTCAATTCAATGAGCCAGGGACTTGAAAAGTGGTTCAAAGAACTATGCAAAAGGAAAAGAATGACTTCGACTGAACTTAAGAGAAAATTAGAGGACCTCGTGGATCTAACACCAACAGATGAAGTTTTGGGTGAAATTATGTTATGGATACAAAGATGTTGCTGAACATGGAGGCGGATAAGACAGATACACTGGGAACAACGGGCTCGAGTAAATTGGTTGAAGCATGGCAACAACAATACAGCTTTCTTTCATCGCTTCGCAACAAGTCAGCAAAGGAGAAATAAAATTACTGTTCGGGAATCAGAGGAAAGCGACGTAGTGGATAATGAAATTGGGATGGGGTTAATAACAAAAGAATATTTCCAGCATTTGTTCAGCTCAACTAATTCAGTAATAGATGACACTATACTGGAGGGGATACAATCAAGTGTTACAGAGGAAATTAAGGAATACTTGAATTGTCCTTTTACAAAAGAAGATGTGACAAAGGCTGTACAAGCGTTATGCCCTATGAAGGCAGCAGGGGACGATGGTCTAGGAACAATATTTTACCAGAGGTTCTGGCATTTAATTGGCTTGGAGGTATCAAAAATTTTGTATAGATCTCATTCAGGGACGAACAGATATGGAAGCGATAAATCATACACATATTGTTCTTATACCAAAAGTGTCAAATCCAAGGAACATGAGCCAGTTTCGGCCGATTAGCCTTTGTAACGTGCTTTACAAAATTGTTTCAAAAACGTTGGTTCAAAGGATGCAGGCCTCCCTAGATGTGTGTCTCTATGAAGCACAGAGCGCGTTCGTTCTGGGACGGCTGATCACAAATAATATCATAACCGCTTCTGAGTTGTTACATTCTTTTGTGAATAAGAGAGAAGGAATACGTGGTTATTTCGCACTCAAGTTAGACATTAGCAAGGCGTATGACAGGGTTGAATGGAATTTTTAATGGATTGTAATGATGAAAATGGGATATCCTCCAACCTGAATTCATGTGATAAAACAATGTGTCGACGACGTTGGTCAACGACGAAAAACGTTGGTCAAAAGACTACATTGAATTATTTTTCAAGTTGAGGGCCACATTGATCCAAAAAAAAACGATAGGGGATGACATGGCATTTTCGTTCCGTGAAGGGCGATGACGTAACTCCCTCACAAAAACAGAAGCCTTTTTGCCTTCTATAAAATGTGTTATAATCTAATCATCAAGATTAAATCAAAATAAAAAAATTATGTATAATTGCACAATCAAAGTTAACGCTTGGTTGGTTTTTTTAAGGGCGCAAAGGGAATAAGATAAGGAGATCCGCTTTCCCCTATTTTATTTGTTCTGGCTATGAATGTGCTTTCTAATATTCTCAATAACGCTGCTTCCAGAGGGATTTTTTCATTCCATCCAAAATGCAAGAAAATAGAACTCACCCACTTGTCATTTGCTGATGACTTATTAATTTTCTGCAAAGGAAACCTTCATTCTGTTTTGGGTGTCATTTCTGTTTTGGACTGTTTTTATAAATATTCAGGGTTGAAGCTCAACGCAGGTAAATGTGAGATCTTCACTGCTGGTGTTTCGGCTCATAATCTTGACTCTATCATCAGCTATACTGGTTTCAAACAAGGTAGGCTGCCTGTTAGATACCTGGGGGTACCTCTTGTCACCAGAAAGCTTACCGATAAAGATTGCCAAGCTCTGCTAGACAACATCAAGAGCAGACTTCACCAATGGTCTAAGAAGAAATTGAGTTATGCAGGAAGGGCTGAGCTTATTAAGACGGTTCTCTACAGCATTGCTAATTATTGGTGTAGACAACTAGTTTTACCACAATCCATTATCAAGAAGATTGAGCAATTATGCTCTAGATTTTTCTGGAAAGGATCAGACACTTCCGCTGTCGGTGCAAGGGTGAGTTGGGTGAAAATTTGCAAACCGAAATCAGAAGGAGGCTTGGGATTAAAGGATATCAAGTCCTGGAACAACGCCTGCCTAATTTTTCTGATCAGGAAATTACTAGTGAGGGAGGGTTCTCTATGGATAGCATGGCTTCATAACTACATAATTAGGCAGCATGATTTTTGGACCATGGAAGAACCACAAACTGCTAGCTGGAGTTTCAAGCAAATGGTGAAGCTCAGAAATGTCTCTCAAATAGTGCGTGTAACACACTAAAGAGATTTGGGAAGAAATCCGTCCTAGAGACACTAAAGTCGCATGGCATAAACTAGTCTGGTATCCTCTTCATGTCCCGAAGCATAGCATAATTTCATAGATGGTTATTTTGGACCGTCTACCCACCAAGGATAGAATGCAAAGACTTGGTATTATCACCAACGATCTTTGCATGTTCTGCTCGGAAGCAACAGAAAATAGGAACCACCTCTTTACCGAGTGTCCGAAGTCTGCTTCCATTTGGAAATCAATCCTTCAACTTTCTGGTTTGAACAGACAATTCTCGGACTGGACTAATTTGCTGGAATGGGCTACCTCTACATGGAAAGGTAAATCTCTGTTGTCTTGCATTCTAAAGATGTCGTGGAACGCCTTTAATTACACCATTTGGGAGGAACGAAATCGTAGGATATTTAAAGGAATTTGCAGAGCCGAAGCAGATATTATAAAAACTATTAAGGAGATGGTAAGAACTACTTTATGTAATAGAAACTTCAATAGATTTGATAGCAGAAACATAGCTTAATGTAATCATTGGGAAATAGCCTAGTTTTGCTGTAATCTGCTCCCTTTCTTGTTCCTTTGATTGAACTGTTTTTTGTAAGCAGTTTGCTGCTATTTTTGGGTAATAAAATCTTGATTTATCCAACAACAAAAAAAAAAAAAAGTTAAAGTTCATGTATTAGAGTGTTTGCTCTTCTTAAAAGCTATCCATAAGATTTCATACAAAAAAAATACCCAAAAGATACAATAATAACAATGAATTGTCAAAAAAATCTAAGAAAAAAAATGAAACTATAATTTGAACTCACAAAAGCAGTCAGATAAAGCAGACCCTCGTCCCATGATGAAATCATCTTTGTGAGCTTTCCATAACGCTTCCATCAATGGCTTCCCTTCCAACCCTTGAGAAGTCAAATTGGCAAAAGCTCTTCTACTTAAGAAAAGTGTTTTGTACAGTCCCTTGAAAGCTCGCATCGCCGCCACCATCTTATCCATGTTTCCAAAGTATGTAGCCATGTACGAATCGCTGTTTATCGATACGAAATAATCTAAGGCAGCTTTTGTGTTTCCATGCATGGTTCCGAAATCCTCACTGCTAAGAAGAGCAGATTTGGTAATTACATTGGTATAAATAGATGTTAAGCCTTCTATCTCCATTAGTCCATCCCCAGCTGCAAGGTAAATGTTTGTGCTTGTGGGTATCGATAATGCTTGAAGTATAAAGGCTGTCTCATTCGGTGTGAGCGGACATTTTCCTCTATTCCTCCAAATCCGAGCTGCTTCTCCTGTCCACGGCTTTCTATCATCTCCACGTGCAGCTTGAATGGCTTTCATCGAGGTAGATGAAAGGCCTGAGTACTGACATTGGCTATAAGCTACCATGTCTGGTTCAAATCGAAGGTGGAGGGAAAGGAAAGGTTTCGGTATGGCTTCCAGAAGCTCGTTGGCTTTCTTCTCCAAGGATTCAGTCAGCCTTAATGCACTGTAACAGGCTTGACAATGTGCAGCCTTTGCATACTTTGGATACCTATAAAATGTCAAAACAAGAATGTAAATATACTCTTCATCAACGCCATATTCTACATAGAGTCAGAAATTCAGAAACAGAAAAGTAATACCGGTCCCTTCTTTGGCTCATTGCTGGTGTGATAGAGATGTAATGATATTTCAACAAGGATGGAAGAACACTTTCGATGTAATCAAATTGACCTTTCCGTTTACTACAATCTACTCGATAGGGTTCTTTTGATGATATCTCAGGCGGCAATTCTTTAACAACTTTGACAAAACCATTCATCTTGTTTATGAAGTAATCGACATCGAATACATCTGTAAAGCCGCTGGAGATGAATGGAATGAATTGTAAAGATTTTATCTACTTATAAATGGCAACATAAACACACTAGGATACCTTTAGGCACTGTACCATAGGAAACGTTTTAGCTACATTTATCAGATAATAATTAAATTATGTGTAATAATAAACAAAAGAACATGTTAACATATACTAGAGTCATGATTGGAATAACTATGAAAGCATTACTAATAAATTTCTAGTGACAATCGTTCATAATCCACATATTTAAACAGGAAAAAGAAAACAGACGGAACATATCCTAATGTTTTAATTAACACAGGTAGGGAAGCTTACAGATCTTTACGACGGAACAACAAAGCTCAAACTGTATTCTTCTCCAGTTAACAGTGCAGAACTTCAGGAATTCAGAGTCAAGCAACATGTGAGATACTAATAAGTTCATCTCTTGGCAACTATCGGCATACTCTCGAAGGAGAATGATTCTAGCATTTATCAAACTTATAAACATGAATTTGAGAAAGGAAAAGTACTGATGATATCAACGTGAGATAGGACCAGCTTTAGCTTTTGTAGGATAAGAATCATGGCTACTAACAGTAAACCCCATGGTTACCATGACAGTTACTCAGATGTGTTGGTTTTCATTTTGCACTCATTTATCTTTTCAGTATAATCTCAACTTCAATAAGAAGATCTACAATTATTAGAAAGTAGAATTGTATCACTGGGTATTCACTACAAGCACTATAAAGTATAATATTACCTACATCTCTATTGCCTTAACATTTTTGAAACTGTTCAGAAATTCAGAATCACAGGTTCCATCAAATTTCTTTTCCTTTCTATGATGTGTGATCAACATCAGCAATGCCAAAAAGAACATACTAGTAATTTATGTTATCACAAGTAGAAAATACCCATGAGAACTCGAAGAGGCATAAACTACCTTGACTCATTCCAATATGCAGCCACTTCAAACTTCGGCAGCACCAAAGTAGCATTCAGTACACGTGCAATACCAACACCATCGCAGAACTGCCCTCACCAAGAAAAATATCTGATTCTTAGACCAAATTAAGTTTATTTTGTAAATAACATAAAAGAGCTACCACAGCTTTGCACTCACATCTCTTCTTATCTGATTGAGGCCACCATAGCAATCAACACGGATATACCCATTACTCTTGGATGGTAGAGCTGCACCATTACAATAACAACAAAGAAGAAGAAGAAAAAAAAATGCAAATGTCTGCAATTATTGCCAATTAAGAACAAAAAATGGACTCAGAATATTGAAATTTAAACATAAGTCTTTAACCTAATCCAAACCCCACTTCCCATTCTTTTAAAAACATCAACATAACTTCCCAAACTAAACCTATAATCCTACCAAATCTACATCAAACAAATCGAAGAACAAAAAAAAGAGCTTAAAAAACCCAGATCCCAGATGCCAAAATTTACTGCACTTCTTCCTCCCTGGCAGCTAACTGTACCGAAGCAGGCAATAAAGCTAATAATGCAAGAATAATAAAAGCCAAACAATAAACAAATAGATAAAATACTAACGAGTCAACTGGGATTGAAGCCACCAATTGCAAGGTCTCCATTCCACAATTCTCTTGAAATTCCATATCTCCGATTTGGCACTGCAATTTCCCCAAATAAACAGAGGTTTACAATAAATTGATCATAAATAGTGAAAATGAGATCTGTAGATAGAGAATGGATTAGAAACCTGCTGGAAGAATTTGAAGGAACAATCGGCCGTGAAGGAGAAAGCAAAACAATGGCCAAGAATAAGGAAAGTGTCGAGATGATAATAAACAATGGCTTCACCCTCATTTCATGCAGCAAAATAAATAAAAAAATGAGTAAATTTGACTATGACTTTTAGATCAGATTTAAATGATTTTTTTCCTTCTTTAAACTGCAAATGTCGATCGAAAGAGAACAGAAATAGAAAAAATTTACAGGGTTTTGAAAATTTTAGGAAAAATTTGAACTTTAGATCTTTGGCTGGCTGTTGGGTTAATATAAGTGATTGTCAGAAGGATTTTTGTTGGAATTGGACCGGGGCTGAGATTTTAGAACACCCGTATCAAACTTGACGGCGGAGATAAAACCAACTTTTAGCCCCGACAAATCATTTTCATTTTGGGTTAAGTTTGTAAATAATTTTTCAATTATAAGGTATTATTTTATTTAATCTTTAATTATTAAAAGTTAAATTAGTTCTTTGGTTAAAGTACATAATTTTGTTGGTTTCTAATTATTAAAATTTATAAAATATTCGTTTGAATGTTGTAAATTCGTCTATTTCATTGTAAAATTGATAATTTTTTGAGCTGGATGTTAGCATATTAATTGTGATATGATAAAATTTAATTTTAAAACTGTTTAAACTGTATTTTGTGGATTGACTCCTCGTTTATGTTATGTCATCAAGGTAGTTATTAAAATATTAAGTTGTCGAGTCAATATTTGAAAGCAACGACAATACTAATAGACGTCATTAAAATATGATTTTATCATATCTTAGTCAACATGATAATGTCCAACTTAGACAATAATCAAATTTTTAACGAAAAAGACAAGTTTGGAACATATGAATAGTCGGGTGACCATTTTATAATTTTTAGTAGTCGAAGGATTCAACAAAGTGGTGTCCTATAATTAGGAATATTTTATATATTTTAATAGGTGAGAGACTTAATAAAATAACATACTATAATGGATGACTATTTTATAAATTTTAATATTAAATAACTCAACAAAACAACATCTTATAATATTTGTATACTTTACTTTTTTTTTATTTTTAGTTTTTTCTTCGTATGTGACGTTATTAAAATAATTTTAGAATATCACGTTATTAAAATAAAAAATAAAGTTAAGACTTAATATAAATATGGAAAATCCAATAACTAAATTAAAAATTATTTAATTTAAGAACTAAATTTTAATTTATTGACAAAATGACATTTGAAGTCTCTGTTTCAAAAGAATCAATGTAGTCATTATCTTACTTTTGGATAAATGTTGTCTTCCAACTCGAAAAAAGAATTCAATGTTATTATTTGACCAACGGTTTTCGTTAAGAGTAACAATTCCGTTAATTTCAGCTGTTATAAATTGGTTAAATTACACATCCATCAGTCAACTATTTTCTTCTTTTCTATTTTGGCCACTAAATTCTAAAAGTTTTTAATTTCATAAATCCTAGAGAATTCAGGGACTAAGGCTGTAGTTAACACGTTTACCCCCATTTCTCTAACTTCTTCCCTCTCCTTCTCGCCGCCGTAGCGAGCCAAGTTCAACAGAGCCGCCATTGATCCTTCAATCTATGAACCCCAAATCACCATACTCATTCACTACACAAATGGAATGTTGATGTTGGAGAAGGTTCTTGCTATTTGTATGCAAGTAAAGCTGCTGCTTTGTGCCTTTGTCTGTTACAGATGATGGAATTCAAGGTCTGGGTTGTGCTGAAAAAAATTACCTTTCATTGATGATGATCTTGTTTTTGCTATGTTTGATATTATCTTTGTCATGATTTCGAAATTAAGCTTGAGGAGGACAGCAGTGGGCTACCTCCAAATGTAACGCAATTCTTCTTTCCCATTTTCTGTATAATGAGAATTTTAAGTTTTATCACTATTTCACAACTAGTGCTGGTTTAGACGGTCTGTTTGTGTGGTTTGCCTGCAAATTGTTCTTACTTATTCACTACGATGTAGTATAAACTCTTTGTGTTGTTTTATTCAAAACATAACTCCAATTCAAAGTGTTAGCCTAATACAAAAA